CCTAAGGGTGCAGTCCCATGGAGCGTATCGCGCGTATCGCGGATTAGCGGATCGCCAATCACAGAATCGTTCTGTTAGATCTGTTTACAAATTTTGTAAGCAAATCTAACAGAACGATTCTGTGATTGGCGATCCGCTAATCCGCGATACGCGCGATACGCTCCATGGGACTGCACCCTGATTCCGGCCTGATGCTCATTTTAAAGTCACAATAGGTCACGCGATTAAAATTGATACTTGCTATTCGTCAATTCTTATCACGTGATCTGTTTTAACGCTGAAAATGAACGTCAGCATGAAAAGGTACCTTTAAGCTGATTTTTCATGTGCACCACGCTGCGGCAGCAAAATGTTATTATTGGTTAAAAATCTTTTGTGAGGGGACGCACTGTGACGCACTTCCAATCAGTTCTCGAAAATTACTATCCATGATATTTTGCTGCCGCAGCGTGCTGTACATGAAAAATCAGCTTTAGTTTGCAAACGACGCCATTTTTAATACTATTACTAGTCCTTTTGCGATACTGACATAAGTTGTAGTCGCGCCTCGTATATATCTAGGACTCTATTCATAATCGGAGAGAATCCGCCATTTGCGATCGTCCGCTGCGTTCATTTGCGTTTCGTTTCGCTTGCGACGATCTTTCCTGCTAACTTTTATTCATACCACGCTTATAGTGTCATCAATTTGGTAAGTAAATTTAAAAATATACTTTACCGTAACGCTTGAATCCGTATCTCGATAAATCAGAGTTTATTTATCGATTTCACTAAGTATCGCGTATGCGAAATTCCGGTTCATTACTTATCGCATTTTGGAATTGCTTCAGTCAGGCGTCTATTAAGTCCGCCACATCGTTCCTCAAAGGCTTTGATACAAAAAGGTGTGTGTTCTGTTTTGCATTTACAGCGCTTATAAGCATTATTTGTCCTTGTTTAGTATGTAATAGCAAGAATAAATCGATGCTTGCAGCGTGTGAGCATGAAAACGGAGCATACTCATATGTGTACTTATATTTCTTTATTACTTATGAAATTTTTCTGTTATGTACGATAAAATAATTTAATGGATCAAGTTCTATTTTTACACGAAACACACGTACATACGTACGTACATACATACATATTGTATATAGTGACGTGTATTATTTTATCCTTGTTTTAAAGAACAAACTCTGTTTTAGAGTCCTGCTTCTATTAATTTTGTATTATGTAAATAAGATGTGTGCACATAGAGTATATTCATTTATTAAAATTTAATCATTAAAAAAAAGATATTTTAATGTATTTTGTGGATTCTTTTGTAATAATTATCTTTTTTATATATATAAGAGAAAAAGAAAAAAAAAGAAAATAAAATACAAAAGACTAAATTTTTAAAAATTATTATGGAATATTCTGCATAGATTTCCATAAGGATGATACCAAAGATTAATATATTGTTTCTAAATATTGATCACTATTAGGAGCACAATGTCATTTAATCGTGGAGTGAAAAGAGATTCCTTTGGTAATCGAGGAACTTTCAACCGGAATGTTAGCGGAGGCGGTGGTAACAGAGTTAGCAATAACAGCAGCATGGGAAGTAACATGGGTGGAGGAATAAGTGGAAGTGGCAGTATGGGTGGAATGAATCCTTGGGAGAGTGGCATGATGCCTGGCAGAGGCATTCTGCCTACACCTAACAACAATCTCTCCTTGGCATCTCCACAGGCACAACTAGCAATTGCCAGCAACCTTCTTACGAATTTACTCCGTAGTCAGCAAGAGGTGCAGCCACAGGTAAGAAAATTGGTTCCACATGATACTTCTATTTTCCATGCCTAGTAGGTTTCTTTGATGTTTTGTCAATGATTGTCGCTATTGTGTTAACTAACAACAATCAATAAAAGCCTTTTCAATTATCCTTGCTGTTGACTATTACTAATTAATGATAGCGACAATCGTCGATAAAATGTTAGAGAATCCTAGTACTGAACTTGCTTAACTCATTCATTTTAAAGCAGGTACCATCTCTGATGAGTCTGGGAAATAATTATTCTGGACCAGGACCAAATTATCCCAATCAACAGAATTATTCCTCTGGACGATTTAACGATAGACCGGTACGGCATTCCATGAAGAATCAACGTCCTCAGCCATACAACAAGGTAGGAAATTTAGAAATTTCGATTATAGTATACGTCATTTTTTTACAAACCAAGGTAATTTTTAAGACAATTTTTTTTAACACCTGCTTACGATCTTCTTCTGTATCGTAAACAGGAGTTATAAAATGACAATCTGTAGTCCACGCTTTTTTGCATGGATACAAACTGTCTAACTATTTCGAACGTTATAAATATTCCCCTTAAGCCAATCGATTATATAGGATATATCGCTCATTCAATTAGACACGGCTGGCGAAATCACTAAGATATAATAATTCTTGTTGATGGATCAGCTTTGTCTGAAACGGCTTCTAAATATCATCCATAAAAATATTTCATTAAAAGAGCACTGTTGAAAAACGTTGATTTCAGAATATAAATCTCAATTTACTACTGGAAGTTCACTGAAGGTTTTTGCAGGACCGAATTTGAACATTGCCTCACATTACGATCTGTGTAACCAAAGTCTTCTATCCACTAATGTGATATTATTTAAAATCAACGTGGTTGCACTTTATTACTACCACTTGTATACACGAGTTGTACTTTTTCACTTGATTTAACTTCTTCTTCATATTTATTAGTATTCACCAAGTTTTACTCAAGTATTTTTAGTGGTAAAAAAATCGTGTCTACTTTTCATAATTATGATCGTATCATGATCATTGCGATCGCGCCTGTATATATACAATGCGTTTTCAACTTGAAATCGGATGCACTCTACTGTTTTCTCCTTTTCCTTCCATACTTGATGTGGAAATGGAAGAAAGAGCTTTGGTATTTCACCGGCTCTGTCCTGTTTCCATTTATCGATTGTAGAACTATTCTCTGCCTCAAATCTCAAAGTGGTTTCTAGAACCAGTATCTCGATTTGAGAAGAATCGGTTACATCAGATACTTCTCACGATGCTTTTGGTCGTTTGACCTCTACTACTTAACTAGATGGGCAATCGAGCCCGAGATGGCCCCGCTGGGCGACGTGGCCCATCCGCACAACAATCTCGTGCACCCCAGTCTGGCAGTCAACGTATGAACGGAAACCAAATACAACATCGCAACGATAAATCTTCTAAACCAATTCCTGCCTCTAAACAAAATCAGACTGCCAAAAAGGAGCAGCAGGATGTTAAGACCTCTGATAGTGAAAAAGCAGAACCGCCTGTTCCGAAAAGGTAAGCTCTCGATTACCTGTGATTGGTATAGTTTCTTCAAATTTCAGTAAGTCTCAGTCTCTCCGAATTATTTGGCTAAATACATATATACATATATATATATATATATTTTATATACGTTCTTAATGTTAACTCATATGTTTTGTATCAGTATCAAAAAAAAGTTTTCTTTTTTATCTCTATATCTTTCTTTTTATATATTTATTCTACACTGTCAATGTGATTCAACTTATATTTCACAGACATTAGTCAGAGCGCTAAAATTTTGCTGTTGCTTTTCGTAATTTCTTCTCCCTGTACATTCATCAAAACACATTTTGACATATATTATTCCAATCAGTGATAATATATTTTAGATTCTAATAAGATGTATGTCTTACATCTTCATATACACTTCTATATCGGTGTAATGTTTTTATTCATAAAGGAATTTTATATGAATCAACATAAATGTTGTAATTTGCAAAACTACATAATTAATTTATATAATTAAAAGTTATAAATTTTTGTAATAAATTTAATATACTGAACTGTTCAAATGATTACAAAACTTTTCTTGGAACGTAAGTTTTATCTTAGATTATTTATAATGTGAACAGCAGTGATGCAGATGAGTCCGAAGATAAGAAGCGTGATTGGAAGGATGAGAAAAACATGGAAGAAGTAAAAATTGAATCAACGGAAGATGAAAAAATGGACGATAACGAAAAAAAGGACAAATTTACTGAAGATTCTTCGAAAGAAGCAAAGGATACATCTGAGAAAACTG